CTGCCCCCCCCCCCCCGGGGAAAGCCAAGTCCCCCCCCCCGAGCAAAAATATGTCCAAAAATAAATCAACTGGAACTGCTGGCACCGCCCCCCCCCCTCCCCGAAAAATCTGAAGTGTTCTCCGGGGGAAAATTTCTGAAAGAAACACTGCTTATGGTTCTGTAAAGTTTCTCGTACAATGTTAGCTAATAATGTGCTGCTTGTCCTCCATGCAATCGATGGCTTTCCGATACTATATAGTAAAACAAAATAATGCGTTCAAAAAGAAATTTGACGCAAAATTTGATCGTGTGAACTGAAAATAAAATTCGATCAATTTTCCGTCGACGAAATTTCTTTCAAAAAAATGTCTCGATACGTAGTTAACTTGGTCTGTTACATATGTTTATGTCTCATTTTCTATCATTAAGAACCACGGGCAGTGGTGTCTGGATTCAAAAACATTTCTCTAAGTCAGGGGTTCTCCAGGGGTCGACTAAGACCATTGGAAAACACATGTACTCCACAGTTATGAAGTAGCAACGAAAATAATTTTACGGTTGGGGGTGGGGGAGGGGGGAGGGTTCGACCCAACATGAGGAACTGTATTAAAGGGTCGCAGCTTTGGGGAGGTTGAGAACTACTGCTCTAAGTAAACATACAGAATATGAAAGGAATCTTTTTTTTTAATAATTACGCCTTTATTTTTGGGGGGTCGTGGTATTGCAACCGCTTATTCTGCCCATGAGATGCAGCGATTAAAAACCTACCCCCAATACTTTCAATGTTTTTATCTCCCCCCTATCTAGTGATTCTGGAGAGCTTGGATGACTTCCCTTTCCTTGGTTTTATCTGTGCTGTGAGCGACGCGAGCGACGCCAGCAACAACACAATAGGGAGGTTCTCATACTCTCCTTCATCGGCCTTCTCCACGGGAGACACAGTTCAGCTGTTGACGTGCGCAGTAAGTAGGCCTACATAGGTCCAGTCTTTCTGACGTGTGGTTGATACTCAGTCTTACTGACGTGTGGCTTGTAATGACTGTCTGGCCCTTCAAGCTAATTTTTATTCTTCCCTTCCACCTCATTTTTATTTTTAAGTCGAAAATGTTAAACATTTCGTCTTTACTGGTTTCTCATTTAGTTTCTATTACTCTGTCTTTCCGTGCTATTATTTATGGCTAACTCTCTCTCTCTCTCTTCCTCTCTCTCTATTTCTCTCTATCACTCTATCTATCTCTCTCTCTCTCTCTCTCTCTCCTTTCTCTATCCCCCAGATTCTCTCAAAATCTCTTTCATCTTCTCTCTCTCTCTTTCCCATTCCTTCTTTTTCCCCTTTTCCTTCTCTCTTTCTCCCTCTAATCTCTCTCTCTCTTACTATCTCTCCTCTCTCTATATATATATATTTCTATTTGACTTCCATGGAAAGGAAAAGGCGTATCCGATATTGGGCTGTGTCTCACCGGGTACTACTGATTACTTACATGTGCATGTTGGTCTTTTTTTCCAATTGCAGCGTTCTGAACCTGATACAGGAGTCACGCATGTCAGTCGATCAGATAAGTACAGAGTGGCCTTCGACTGGACAGCTCCACCCGATGCTAACGCAGGACAACGCTACAAGCTGAGGTTAGTGTTAACTTTATCACTGCCATCCCCTCTAGCTACCGCCATGGTTGAATTCGCCGTCACGGCAAGGATTGTGAGTTGATTATATATTTAATACAGCAACACCCGTGGCCGCAGAGCCGAATGCGGTCCTTAAAGTCGTTGAATGGAAAGCTACGAATTAACGTATAGAATTAAAAACTTTTTAATTCATAACGATGGGTTTAGGATGCACATATTTTGGATACGCTGGTGATCCTCATATGCATTAAGCAATGTTTAGCTATAGACCATGGACTACATAATATATTTTTTTAAATTTACTTTTAAATATAATTTTTTATTACATGTACTTGAAACAAAAATTATTATATCATTTATATTAACTTTGCTTTTGTACGTGTCTGGCTGGCAAAAAAATCTTCGGGAGGCTAATTGACTCACTTCCTGTCAACCTATCAAACTGAAACTTGGCCCATACAATCGATGCCGATAACAACACGTACTTTCAATTTGTTCAGCATCCCCTCCAACACACACACAATTGCTCGATACATGGGCGCCCGCAGAAAACTTTCTAGGGGGTGGGGGCAAAAAAATCGATTACCTTTCCAGGGGGGGGGCAAAATTTTTTTAGTAATGTTTAATGTAGTTTTAATTTACTGTAGCGTATTTGTATGGTGAACGAACGGACAGGACATCAGCTTAGTTACTTTCTCTTTATTTTCTCTTTACTTTAATACATTTTTGTCTATTTTGTTCTAAAAAAATTTTATCCACTAAAGCGGGGGGGGGGGTGGCAAGTGCCCCCCTGCCCCCCCCCCCCTGCGGGCGCCCATGACTCGATATTACATTTTATAAAGGATTTTTTAAGGGATGTTAATTTTGTGTTATTTGAACCTATCGAAATTGTGTCACTCTCACTAGATGCTCCTTCGTGCAGTCGTTTTATAGATGCTGGACCAACGTTCAAGTGAACATCAGCGTAGGTGGACATCAGCAGTCTACCACGGAGTCAACGTTTGGATCTGAGGTTAATGGTATCGGAGTCGGCAACATCCCCACGAACAACAGTGCAACTGGAGGGAGCATCTCTTCTTTGAACGGAGCTCAACCTTTCAGCGCCACATCTGTCGCTCCGGCATCGTCGAATGAACGAAATTTGACAGACTTTTCAACACCGCAGAACGGCGCGGTCAACAATTTAACACGTGAACCGCCGGTTAACAATCAAGATAACGTTAACATTATCAATAGTACGTCTCCGGCATCAGATATCTCTGTTTCTTCGGGTCCGTCTAGAACAGAGTCAGTAACTCCATCGTCTGCACCTGTACGGCAAACTCTACCTCAACGTCCTGAAGCTAACGGTCCCACACTGTCGTCTAACTCAACTACCAATGACTTGGGCACCGGCACCTCAACTGATCCCAGTTCCACTGGACGCCGTGTCTCAAACACGCCTGCGGTGAGCAACACGTCAAATGCGGGTCTCCAAACAGGGGAGCGTTTCACCAATCCGACACAAGCTAATCTCCCAAACAACGCTGATTCAACACGAAATGTCCTGGTTTCGGACAACGGTGAGAACGCACGCGCGTTCACCAGGCCGTCTTCATCAGGTGCAAATACCAGCGCGCTTAGCAACAACTCCGGCTCCCCGAACCTACCTTCCAATTCCAATACGGGTGGGGGTTCGAGTCGGAACACGACAGCCCGACTGAGGGGAGAAGTAGATGCCATTCAGCAGGGTCCAAACGTTGCTAGTCCGTCCATTGGGTTAACAACGCTCTCAACACATGACGTTGCCATGGACAACAGCTCCTCGCCTAGTAACATCCCCACCACCGCAAGTAGTCCCCCGCGCATTAATACAACAAGGCGCAGGGGTAACGTTGTTCCAAATTTTATCCTTCAAAACCCAAATGCTTTCTTTCTGAGATCCTGGAACATTCGAAATGCTCTTGGTGCCAGCAGGAATAGCAAATAAAAAATTGAAATGAGCCTTTTTTGACATTCATGCAGTGAATTTGTGAATCGCTTTATTTAAGCTATGCAATTTGGTACCGGTGCAACATTTCTAAAAATTACTTTTGAATTTGGGGAGAAAAGTGACCCCAATACAAATAATCAAACATTGCGTATAATTATAACATGCGGTGCGGACCTCAATTATCGTCGTCACTTCTACCGGGGCCGTAGCTTGACTTTTGGAGCCCACCCCCCACTTGCCCCACTTCGGTTTTGTGGCCCCTGCACTCATAGTGAATAGTTTACTTTTATTTTTTTCAAATCACAACTTTTATCCCCTTAATACCCCGAGGTCCCCTGCAACCCTTGAGGTCAGGCCCTGCGCGACGGCTCTGACTTAAAGATGATCGTGTTGTATAAGGGAGGAGACACGCGTTGTCCTATAAATATAAGAACATGCAATCCGACCAGTGCCGGGTTAGTCTAATTAGGCAAGTGCCTAGGGTTTCAAAGTTTTAAAAAAAGAACATTCCATTGCTATAAACTCCCCCCCCCCCCCCCCAACACANGTTTATATTGTCCATGGTAGGCTAATTGTTTATATTGTCCATGGTAGGCTAATTGTTTATATTGTCCATGGTAGGCTAATTGTTTATATTGTCCATGGTAGGCTAATTGTTTATATTGTCCATGGTAGGCTAATTGTTTATATTGTCCATGGTAGGCTAATTGTTTATATTGTCCATGGTAGGCTAATTGTTTATATTGTCCATGGTAGGCTAATTGTTTATATTGTCCATGGTAGGCTAATTGTTTATATTGTCCATGGTAGGCTAATTGTTTATATTGTCCATGGTAGGCTAATTGTTTATATTGTCCATGGTAGGCTAATTGTTTATATTGTCCATGGTAGGCTAATTGTTTATATTGTCCATGGTAGGCTAATTGTTTATATTGTCCATGGTAGGCTAATTGTTTATATTGTCCATGGTAGGCTAATTGTTTATATTGTCCATGGTAGGCTAATTGTTTATATTGTCCATGGTAGGCTAATTGTTTATATTGTCCATGGTAGGCTAATTGTTTATATTGTCCATGGTAGGCTAATTGTTTATATTGTCCATGGTAGGCTAATTGTTTATATTGTCCATGGTAGGCTAATTGTTTATATTGTCCATGGTACGCTAATTTTGAGAACTGTCCAAATACAAGTTAAGAATTTAATTTTATTGTTCCTTCTTTGTTAAAAAAAACACAACCTAGGTAATTAACTCATTATCTATTCCAATTTTCTCCTTGTACAAATTTTCAAGATTATACTTAAAAGGGGCACTAAAGTTAAGCCTGCCTGGAGCACCAGCAACCGTAGGGCCGGCTTTGGACACATGAACAGAATATTTTGTCAGCAATATTTCAGTTTTAACCTAAGAGATTTCATGTGCAGTTGAACATGCCATAAAAATCTGTAAATATTGTTTTCCCCTTATTCATTATTTTTAAAATACAACATCATGTGTAATATTTCAGTTTCTTTCACTTCTATGTTTGGCCTAAAATTCAAAACAAAATTTAATTCGAAGATAAAATTTTCAAAGACTTCGTTTATTTGGGCATTTTATTTTGTCACATCTTTGTAGAAATTTTCTTAGCTTCTTTGAAAAAATGTAAATATATTAAAACCATATCACAACTCAATCATCCTTTCACTGTGGGCAACATTTTAAAATAAACGTACAACTTTTCATTCTTTGACATCCAGTTCAAAAACTATTTCGCATCATCTCAGTTCTAATTTGTTCTATCCAGCTCATTCTGAGTCTTGACGTTTCTCTCGTTCCCCCTGACAAGTCCCTTCGCCATGTGGTTTGTGGTCTTCCTCTCTTTTTAAAAATGATACCCTGTTGACTCCATGAAAGAGATATGATGAAATGTGAATTAAAATTGACTTTGGTTTCTTCTATGTATAGCCAATCCATCTCCTTTTCCTTCTCTGTTTTTCCTGCGGCTCGTGGATCACCTCCTGATCTTTCCCATATGATCTATGTTTTTCCTGCGGCTCATGGATCACCTCCTGATCTTTCCCATATGATCTCTGTTTTTCCTGCGGCTCATGGATCACCTCCTGATCTTTCCCATATGATCTCCGTTTTTCCTGCGGCTCATGGATCACCTCCTGATCTTTCCCATATGATCTCTGTTTGGGATCTTTTTGTACCATTTTATTATTTTGTTGATCTCACACAAAAATCTGTTGATTAAATCATTGAATTCTTGGATTTGAGTTTTGTTTCTCTCATTCATGCCTCACAAGTATCACTTAAATTTCAGTTTTAGCTTAGCAACAATTTTTCTTTCAGTGGTTTTTATAAAACAAAAAATGTAAGTGATAGGCCTACATTTAAAGCGTGTATCCCTTACATTTCAGTTTAAAAAGAACCATTTAAAAAAAAAAATGTAGTCTTTTTTAAAACTGAAATGTAAGTGATACTGGTCTATGCTGCATCACATGTCACTTAAATTAGGCGACAGACTTTGACATCAAGGCGGGGTTCTTGTAAGTGAAATCAATGTTTCATTTAAAACCTCTTGTCATGCCTACAAGTCTCTGGCAATAAATTTATTGGTCATTTGTAGTTAAAATTAAGTCATGCCCAGACCTCTTGGTTTTAATTTTAAGTTCATTGGCTAACTGGCGCTTTATCACTTCTGGAAAGGATCCGATTGTTCTTTTAGTAAATCGAGATGAGATGAAAAAGAATCTGCAACAAAAAAAAAATTATATTAAAGAAAAATTTTAGAAAAATAAGTTATTAATAAAACATCAGCTGCATATAGGGGCTGAAAAATATCAATTACTTCAGACAAATAGAAAACTTAAAATCAAATGTCTTAGTAGTACTACAAGGATAAAGATGTTTCCTCTTGTATGTTCATGCCACAATTTCATTTTCAAATAATACTTTTAAATATATATGATAAGTAAGTAATGCCCCTTAACTTGAAGAAAAATGCATGCTGTAAACTATGACTTAACCAGAGGTCAATTGTAAGAAATTCCACAAAAATCAGCCCGAACACTCAACACTTTATATCTAAAGGTAATCAAATTTGTACCATAACAACACCTTTTTTTTCTATTATCATTGAATCTTTGTATAATTAATATTTATTGGGGTGATTATCAATAAATGTGATAAAAAAATCTTTACAAAATATATGGAGAGTAATAGTGAACAAAATATGAATTCCAGGATATCATATTTCTTGTTTAACTTAGTTTTAGTTAATGTGTAGGTTGTTTTTTTTTTATTTACTGATAAATAAAGACTTTTAATGTTTAGGAAGAAAGAAAAAACTAAAACTTTTGCAGGTGAACTTGGTGCTTACAATTCTTATCACATTTTTTTTTAAATTAGGTTTATTAACCTATGGCTTAAGTATTTTAAATTTAATCTTTCAAATGAGATTAATAAAAAGAACTAATTTTATCAGCTCTACATTGAATTTCATTACAGATTTCAAATAAACTACAACACAAATTGAAACATATTTACCTGAGCATGGAAATCTTGACCCATAATAGTTTTAAATATTTTAAGAAGTTTTTTTAGGTGCTATTTAAAATCAGAATTGTGACACATTTTTTTATTAAACCTGGTGCAACAAATACTCCAGCAAATGGTCAAATGTTTAGATGATAACCACAAGCAAATTATTATAATTATATATATATATATATATATTAATATATGCACAGAAATATGGAAGAAAGTGGAGTAGCTTTACAAAAATTTAATATATAATGCTGTATACCTTTCTAGATACAGAACAAAAATCCATACTGCAATTACAACAAATATATTGCTGAAAGGCCATGGGAAGCATAGAAACGTCCATGCCACTAAGAACTGTGACATTCTTATCAAGGTACCCATCACTTCACACAGAGCAAAGCGAAATCCAGCTTTTCTCATTGAACAAATGGTGCTCACAGAAATATGCATCCAGAAACCAATAAAAAGAATCTTGAATAGCAAACAATTTGCTGCAATGAACAGATGAAATTTAAATTATTAACTTAGGTTGAGGCAAAGATAACACATTTACATCATTTTCTTGTCAAAGCATTGATAAATTTAGTATGTTTTCTTGAAAGCATGATTACACAACTTTTTAAAGTATAAGTATTTTCACCATATTATACAAAAATCTGTTAGAAGCATCTTGGGTTCTCTAAATCTTATTGAAGAACATTGAACGCATTTCTAGGCTAATTTCTTGCAGCATTTTTACCATGAGCTGCTAATGTTTTGTTTTTTTAAAGTCAAAGAGCTTTCATTCTTACACTTGAAAAAATGCTACAGACTTTTTTCCTTTTCATTACAATTTATGTAACTTACTAGATAGGAGGAGTGCAGCAAAACTACTAGTGTACGCAAAGACATCAAGTGAACTGCGAAGTGTTCCTTCCAAATATAAAAAGTCACAGATAAATAAGGTCCAGTATAACACTGGCTCATAAAGTATGTTGATAGCTTCACAAAGTTTATTCTGCGAAAATAAAAACACATTTCATAACCATTTAAAAATATGTTTATGCTCTTTTCATAACATATATCACTACTCTCTTTACGTAAAATTGTTAGATAAAATTTGGCTTTAAAAAGTATGAAAGGGACAGGCATTGAAAAATAAGAATCACAAATAAGAATTGATATGTTTGCAGCATGGAAATAAATTTTTAAATAATTAACTTTGTTTCTACGTGTTTTTTTTCTCCAAAAATGTATTATTAAACAAAATAATGTAAAAATTAGAACAATTTAAATTTCAGATATTAGTACATTTTATGAAAATTTACATTTGTATCTAGTTTTTCCCAATATGGGAAAGCAATTGGTGGCCTGACAGTGCCCATGGCCAAATCTAGAACTTCCTTGCAGTAACCATGGTGAACAAACTGCCCAGCACTGATGTAGTGGGTGCTATCCAGATCAAGTCTAATAACTGGGGCACCACTTGATCCAGGACATGTTGCGGCATCATAGAGGGCAGGCACAAGGTTAATTAAACGTGACATTCTAAATTGGGATGTTGGAGATTAAAATGTATTATTTTAACATACTCAAATATATTCAAAACAAGAAATATATTTCTATCAAATAGTTTTGACTTCTTAAATAAGATTTTGCTTATAATATTAATTGTCTTTAATGAACTTTGCCTTTCTTTGGGCAGCTGATCAGAATAAAGCTGTTTTTAAAAACAAACAACCAAACATTTTTTTTGTCCAAAGTTAACATGGCTGACATCTTTTGCTTTTGGTGGTTAAAGTTATTCAGGCCTCCTATCTGAAAGCAATTACTATACTTTGCTTGCTCATCCATTCCACCTGAAAATTTATTTTATCCATGTGTGGTGAGCTACCTCTTGCTAGTGAGACCAACAACATTACCATTGTGCCATAAGGCCAACAATTTTGTTAAACTATTTTTTAAAAAACATTTTTTGTGCTATTTAAAGTAAGATGTTCACAAAAATGTATAACTTAACATTTTTTTTTTATCCTGATGCTGATGTACACAACTTACTTTCCAAATGAAATTTGTTTAGGCTCACTGTGAGGATGAGAAATAACAGCTACATCAATGTCTATTTGTGGAACGAACACAAGCCTGCGTAAGCTAAACTTCCACCAAGAAAAGGCAGGATTTGACAACTCAACTTCTTCTGTGGTAAAAAAAGTATGCAGTGGAGGTTCACATGAAAATGCAGTGTAATCACTTGCCATAACAGATCTAAAGTAGTTGTCACTTCCCCTGAACAAAACCAAGTTTGGAGTTACACCACATTGGGTTTCCTCATGAATTATCTGATCTTTCATCTGTTCCATAGCTTTCATATCCTGGCGAATGTTATCATTATCTTCATAAAAAGGTCTGATTATAGTGTGTCTGGCTTCAAATGGATCATAGACCACATGCTTGCTTGTGTTGATTATCGCCCCATACTTTGGGTGAAAGGTTATGAACCCTGAACCCGAGGAGTACTTAATTTTACTGAGAGGCCCACGAGAAGGACTAAGTTTAACCACAGTCAGATGAACAACACGTCTGGCCACCATCTGAAATAAATTGGAATACACATATTTTAATAAGAAAATGTTCACAAATATAAGAAGTAAACATTCTTTTCCCGAAACAGTTGTAGGAAAACATAATAGTATTGATGTTTAGTAAGTATGATGTAACTTGCTCATAAAATAGCTGTGTCTGAAATAAAATGTCATGTGCGTACATAAAATGTACACCTTAATTGCACAGAGCCAATGGCATGCAAGTGTGGGAAATACGTTCTTCCTAAAAAAAAATTGTTTAAACTTCATGCTCCAAGTAAGTAAATGATTAAATTGCCTTTTGAGTCACTAATAAATTAAAGACATTGAGCATTCATTCAATTCAATTCATTTTAAAATAATAAGAATAAAATGTGTTACAAATTATTCTGTTTGTTGTTTTGGTTTTTGGTGCATATGTTGTTGGTTTTTTTTTTGAGTCATCACAGACTGATTATCATAATAATATTACTAAGTTCTGTAACAGTGGAAGTATAATTACTTCATGATAGGAAATCCATTCTTCGTTAACAGTGTTTGCTTCAATAAAATTACTTCATGATAATTAATCCATTACTTCACTAAGAGTGTGTATGCTTAAGTAAAATAACTTCACAATAATAAATCCATTAGTTTAGTAAGAGTGTACACTTATGTAAAATTACTTCATGATAATCAATCCATTACTTCACTAACAGTGTATGCTTAAGTAAAATTACTTCACGGTAATCAATCCATTACTTCAGTAACAGTGTAGGCCCGCACACTTAATAGAGTGGTCATAGCAGGAACTCATTTTAATAATTACTTTTAAATCTTGTAAAACAGTTTCCTTTCTCCACCCCTCTGGCAGGTTTTCTAGAGTCAGGTTTTTCAGATAATGATAGTTCTTGTGAGTCTGCTCTTTAAGGCACTTTGGGGGAACTGTGATAACTTGAAAGTCTTCGTCGATAAAATATCTTTCTGGGACAAAAGGCCGGGATTCCATTTTTTTAAACAATCCTTTGTCTACCTTAAAATTAAAATCAAATTTAATATTTACTCATAACAATTATTATAGTGGCACAATTCAATAAAAAATAATATACAGATATATATTAATATATTTATTAAAAATATCAATAAATAATGATTGACAGAATAGTTATATGAAGATGCACAAATCATGAACATGGTAATTTACAGAATTCATCTAGGTGTAAGTGTAAGCAGATATAACACTGTCATTATAACTCTTATGATCTCTGAAGTAAACCTCTCAGTAGTCTCAGCACATACAGTGAACTATCATACAGAAAAGATATCGGAAAAACCTTATTTACAACATATAGCTAAGTTAGGCTACTCATAGCTTTTCTGCCAGGTGCCTAGTGGCAGAGGTGGTGTTGGCGGTTGGCTCGGGGGGGGGCGGGGCTTTTTACTTTATATTGAGGGCATGGGCGCTGGCAGAAAACTTTCTAGGGGGGGGGGCAAAAAAATCTATTAACTTTCCCAGGGGGGGGGGGGCAAAAAATTGTTAGTAATGTTTTAATGTAGTTTTAATTTACTGTAGCGTATTTGTATGATGAACGAACGGACAGGACATCAGCTTGGTTATTTTCTCTTTACTTTAATACATTTTTTTGTCTAAAAAAATGTATCCAATCAATCCGGAGGGCAAGTGCCCCCCTTGCCCCCATCTGCGGGCGCCCATGATTGAGGGGGACCATTTCCAGGCAACTGCAGAGGCTTTTTTTTTTTTTTTGTGTGCGTTTTTTGTTTAAGGAAGGCGCCAAAACGCACACCAGGCGTTACCACCCCTGGCTACGCCACTACTCACAATCATAATAATGTTACAAATGATTTTTATTTTATGATTTTAAAAAGAGCTATAAATTATTATTTTTTTTTTAATAAATAATTTTTTTTTTAAAGATAAGAATGTTATAAAATGCGGTATCCCATGTGAAACATTGCGTCTCATTTAAACTTATCATTAACAAAAAATGATCAGTTGTATTTGTTGAGTTTATAGCTATCATCCGCTTCTCTTACCTTGCATTTGAACAGCCGTTGTGACTATTGTGATTTTGATTATTTCATCGAGTAGTTTAGTGTAGCTGTTATGTTATTTCACGTTCCTATATTTTATTGTTACTTAGAAATGTCGGCCTAAATCAATTCCACGAGGTCGCAACAAACACATCAGGCTCGATGTGTTATGTTTTTCTTTCATTATAGTTCGTGTGCAAACACTGGCGCCTGAGTATGTCGTATGTGTTAACTTATGATGTGTAAGTGTAATGAACCATGACCATTGCTAACAATGAGACTCGCAATGTGTGCTGTTATTATTTATAGTGCTACATGAGATGCTTATTTTTTTTATTTTTTTTTAAGCTGTAGAAAAACCACCATGATGCTGCCATGATAATGGGTTTCAAAGATTTAAATTAAAAAAAAAAAAGAAAATTTGAAATTGAACTGGTGGTGGTTGATTTTTTTATTTTTTTTT